CCGACTACTCTCCAGGATAAAGGTCAATGCTTCACCCACTGGTTCCACTGTTTCAATTTCGGATGGAATTCATCGTTATGTTATGTTTGTTTCTCCTGTTATTGTATTTGTGGTGTATTGTTCATGTACTTTATTTGTCGCAACGTGAAAGAGGAAATAGTTAGTTGGGAGAAGCCTTTTATAGATTCCTGATTTTTTTGTCTATGGTGTTTTCATCTCTATGTTAATGTGCTGCTGTGGAATTCTAGTAAAGAGAGACTTAAGCAAATATTCGCCTCCTGTCATTAATAAAATTAAGATTCTAGTTACACTAAAGCTAGTATAATCTACAATTTTTCTCTATTCATAAGTGGCTGTGCTTATTTTTTAAAAAGTCTTATAAAATTTCTGTAAAAAAAATGCATAATCCCTGAAAACACTGTACACCTTTCTTTTTTTGTAGGGGTAGGCTACAAAAATATGGCTTATCCTATGTGAGACTATTTGTTTTGATAGATAAAGAATGTAACCAAGAAGTTCTATCTCTGACCCACCAAATATACAATTTTCAGTTTTAGTGTAGATTTGTTTATCACGCGAAATTGTTAGTACATTTTTATAAATTTCAAAAAAAATATATATAATTCTGGGCATAACAATCTACACATCAATGTAGACCCCCATCAGTTCTACCCAAAAAAGATTCCTGCCCCTACAGCGGATGTGGAAGGGTGTATAGATCCTTTCAATAGGTTTTCATCCACTATATTCTACACCAAGTCTATCAAAGATTCATAACTTCTCAAATACATTGCTATACTTTATTTAGGTCTCGGGAATTATACCAACTTTTTCCAGTATTGAGCTATAGTATGGGATATATAGTATTTGTATTAAACAGTGTTTATAGCAATAGTCCAAATAAAGATTCTTTTTGAACAGTTTGACCCTACCTTGGTCCCCCGAGGATCTGCGGTCCTTCTGATCTTCTGTGATACATCTTTAAGTAGAAGTTCCAATTCCACTTTAGTCATATTGATTTTGTCTTCACTTGGATGGAATTCATTGATTGAGAACCATATCTCTAAAGTGGAATTTCCCATTCCTCTTGAGCAATATTATTATGTTTTCTTATTTGGATGGAATTCATTGGCTGAGAAGGTCGTCCATTCAAAAACATTTAACTCCTTAATTGGACCAGATATACAGAAGTAAACAATACTTTACCCTAATAAATATATGGAGCACAGCAGCTAATAAAGTCTATCTACAGCCAGGGAGAGACCAGGTGAGAAAATTCCAGTCATTCAATACAGTAATTGCAAGTACGCATCACGATAGAAAGAAAATATATTGTCATTTGGCACCAAATAAAAACAACAAATGGGAGCTACACGCATTCTAAAGTGTTTCAGACCCATAGGTCCCTACTATGGTTAGGGTAATCCTGGCACCATAACCACTGGTGTGGGCTGCAGTGGTTATGGTTAGTGATGTCCCAAACATTTCACCAAATGGTTCGCGAACGGTTCGCCACGAACGGTTCGCCATGGACTCATCATTGAGTAAACTTTGACCCTGTACCTCACAGTCAGCAGACACATTCCAGCCAATCAGCAGCAGACCCTCCCTCCCAGACCCTCCCACCTCCTGGACAGCTCACTAAGAATGCAGCTTCACAATGAATGTAAAATGGATGCTGTCCAGGAGGTGGGAGGCTCTGGGAGGGAGGGTCTGCTGCTGATTGTCTGGAATGTGTCTGCTGACTATGAGGTACAGGGTCAAAGTTTACTCAATGATGAGTCCGTGGCGAACCGTTCGCAGCAAACCATTCGGTGAACCGTTCGGGACATCACTAGTTATGGTGCTTTGAAAGCCACTTTAATATAGTTTTATTTATATTAATTGAATAAGATCGCTTAGTGCTTTACATCTGACTTCACAGTACAATTGAAGTAGAGAAAGCAGAAAGTATAATAGATATGCAGACATAATGGAAGATGGTCTAACAAGAATTAAAAGATTACTATCCCAACATGTAAAATCAATTTATTTGTCTATCCATCTATCTATATATAAAGCCATATGTCTGTGTATGTATGTCTGTCTGTCTATCTATATATCTATCTATCTATCTTTTTGTCTATTCAGTTCTGAAATGAAAGTAGAGAGGGCCCAGGTGCAAAACATTTCTGGGGCCCTCCCTTCCACAAGGATGGCCTAACGGTAGATCCCCATCTGTGGTACAACTCCCACAATAACACTCATACACATACACATACAGACACACATAGATACACACCCAGATACACACACACAGACACGCATGCAGATACACAGATACACATACTGACAAACATACAGATGCAACCACTGACAAGCATACAGATTTGGACATATATAGGTATAGACATGCATAGACATGCATATACAGAGAAACACAAAGACGAATACACTGGCACACATGCAAATAGACAGACTCACACTAACACACATACAGATAAACAGACACACACTGACACATGCAGATACACAGACAAACATATACACACAATGACACTCATACAGATACAGACACAGATACACATACAGATACAAAAAGCACAGAAAAGGGTGCTCACTGTAACAGAGTGGAAGGCAGCAGTGAACCAGCAGGTATTCCCAAACCTTGCTAAATTTTTAAACGTGACAAAAAAGGATGTGGTAAACCGCGCCAAAAGATAGGAGTGTATATGAAAAAACAGTGTTTACTACGCTATATTCATACACTTTTGGAGTCACACTTCTGAAGCTGCCCAATCTGGGAGAAACGTGTCAAGTGGGACTGGAGCACCTTATTCTTTTGCTACATTTGTTTTTATACTATATATATATATATTTACTTTTAATGAATAAAGTTAACGGTTATTTATATAGTCCTTTATTTTAATTTTTTTATCCTGGTGCTGTTGTGCTACATTGAATCCTGCATATCCCAGGTGGGAATTGTACCACCATAACCACATACCACCAGAGCAAGTCATTGCTCTGGAAATTGTAAGTAGGATACTTGCTTTCAAAACATCTAATATTGTATACAATATACTGTGCCATTGGCTCTTCTCCTCT